ATTTATTTATTTTTTTCCCCTGAGGCTTTCGGTCTGAGAGACGAGTAAAGTCTGAGCGCTGTACTCATTATCAACATGACGTGGTCTGGCGGTTAGGACACTACGTCATCACGCAGGTGACCCGGGTTCGATACCCACTTCAGAAAATACATTTTGGGTGTTTAACTTTCGTTATATTTTGGGACAAGACAACCACCGTTACAAAACGGTCGTCCATAAAATGCATTGCTGTTCTGTTGTAAGTAATCTTAAAGATTCCTAAATGCATCTACTTCCGGAAGCCCAAATAAAGTGCTTTTGCTTTCGTCTAGAAACACACAGCGTCTCCCTGACATGCTGCTTCAACACTAACTGCGGTTACTGAAGCCACGCCTTCTTTCTTTGCGTGAACATTTGGGTGGCATTATGCTAATATTTCCACATAGTGATGTAGATATGTGGGGGCGTGTTAGAACGAGCCGTTTTAGGGGGGCGTGGCAGAGTCTTAACTTTGATAAAGAATATCTCTTTGGTTTTGAGACTTTAGTCTTTGCAACTTCAGGGCTCTTATCTATGCACAATCAGCTTGTAACACTCCAAAGAGAAAGGAAAACTTGAAATCGCATCATATGACCACTTTAATTACATTAAGAAAAGAGTGCACATTAAACATCACATTACTTATAAAAGTTCTGGACATTTTTGATGCCAAAACGTTTGCTGGGAAATAGATTTGGTCTTTCAGACACCGGGCAATGTTTTAAAATCTTATGGTGAAATAATACAAGATTTGATTTCTAGATATTTTTACTTACTCTTGAGGATACTGGATTTCTTGGTCATTATTTGTTTAAAATGAGGATAACAAAAATTAAACAATGACTAACAATATATTCAAATATAGACTATTGATTCTATATGAGAAAGTAGATGTGTGTTTTGCATTAACTAATTACTAACATATTAAATGAATGTTAACCATAAATTCTAGTATGCTAACTTAGCTAAAACAGACTGCATGAACTAAGTATGACGTTGATTTAGCTGTCCACCAAATTGTAATATCGCTTGATATCACTGCTCCACTTTGCGCTCACTACTGCGCAGACTCGAGACTCAAGATGTCAGCCCAATATTGGGACACTTACTCCAACTGAAGAGAGTGAGGGTGCGTCGTCCATCTTTTTTACAGTCTACAGTGGTGACAATGAGTGATGAGAAAATGAGTGATGGTTTCAAGGAATGTTTTAGCAATTCAGAAAAAAAACTGTAATATGGAAAATATCAGTAATTATTGTTGGATGAATAATAAGTAAATACATTAATTCTCTACACTTAGCCTATAGTAAACTATCAACAAATTACGATGCAATCAATAAGGTCTAACTTAATGTCCATCTTCCACAGAAAACAGGCAGAACAGAGAGAGAGAGAGACCATGTAGAATGTCAGAAAGGTTCACTAGATGTATTTCTGCAGAAAAAGCCATAATTTAAAGAGGCCACAGAAAAACAGGATCAAGAGGACAGATGTGATGAGAACAGGGATGGGGAAATAGCAGAGGTGTAGAGTCGTGTATGTCTCTTTTAATGAGATAATAGATCATAGGTTTATACTGTGTGTAGTGTATACAGTGTGTTGCATTTGTAGGTGTAATCTTGGTAAGTTTTCGACAGGTTTCACTATACTTTCACATTTTCAAACATTTTGCCCTCACAATTATAACCAAACCTATACACGTGTGGGCTGACAAACAATCAAGACAAGACATTGATCCTTAGTTGTTTAATATAATATTATAATATATATAGTATGTAGTATAATAAAGCTGTGAAACATGACACAAGAAAAATAGGAAAATTATAAACAATAATTACAATAACACAACAATATTGTAAAAAGAAGCTGATACACTTTTATACAGTACAATTAATTTGTATATAAAGAAAAAAAAATCTGTAGATAGGCATGTAATCTGCCCATAGATACTATTGTATTCCTCAGTATGAAACATTTAAAATGTTAAAATAAATGTTACAGTGTCCAGTTTTAACATTTTGTCTTTGAGGCTAAAAAAGATTATAATGCAATATTAAGGGTTTACATGTATAATGCAACTGCTTTTCAGATCTAATGTACAATCTATCTCTCCCATCTTTTTAATTCCCTTTTCCCTCATTAAAAATATTGTTAGGACCCTATCACAATGTAATCCAGTCAAAAGCTGTCTTTATCAATCAATAAAATAAACATTTCTATATTAATTCCATGAAGAAGCACACACAAATCTTCAGGGTTGAGTGTAGCCAACAAAAACATCCACTACTGTACAATGATGAAAACATAATAACACAACCCCCCCTCTTTAAGTTGCAGTATTCATATGCCCACTGTACAAAGCAATGTTTGTTGTGGAGGCTTTAGGTTGGTAGTGTTAAAACTTACAAATCCATTGTGTATTTGATGTCATAAGCTACTGGTCCCCCCATTGTGAAGCCTAAGAAAAAGGACACCTCCTCCATGCTACATCCACTTCGAAGGCCTCCCAGGTAAACTGGCCGCACAGGAATTCTAAGATTCCCACCATAGTGAACATAAATAACACCATTTTCTGTTTTTCCCTTAACTCTTTGAAGTAAGTTGTGCACCTCTGGTTCTCTCCATATTGCTCCGCTCTGCCATAGCTGGTGGATATTGGGGTGTTTTTCTTTGTCCACCACCTGATCTAGCTTTGCTTTATGGATTACCCTTTTCAGTTCTTTGGATTTTCCAAGGTAGAAGTGTGCAATGGCACTCTTTGCTGGGAACAAATGGGAGAAGCGCCGATGGAAGGATTTCTTTGTAGATGTAACATATGTGCATATGTTTTTCGACAGTGTTGTGTCAACCATGTTGCTCTCCTTTCCTGGCCATAGCAATAACATTGCAAGGTAGTAGGCCTCAGTAAATTCTGAATAAGTGCCCTTCTCTTGGAGGACGACATTCAGAAGGTGCAGAAGCTCGTTAAACCTCTTTAGGATTGGTGACCTTGGCTTAACACAGTAGAGAACAATGTTTGCCAAGATGAAATTCACTTGGTTAATGCAATTCTTAGAATTTTCAGAAATGAACTGCCATTTCTTTAAAATGAGTTCCATTTGAGACCCATTTTTCTCAGTTAGACATTGTAGTAACCCAGCAAATGTATTGGCACGCTTTTCCTCCAAATAGCATCTGTAGTCCTCCAACTTCTGTCCTAAGCTAAGATTTGGTTGACTTGCTCTCTCCATTTCTTTCTCTTCCCCAGACTGACAGAATATTTTAACATATTTTTTGAAGTATTCTGAAACTTTTCTCTTGTTTCTATCCTCAGCCGTTTCTCTTTCAATCGACCTAGGTTTTAGGTAGGTGAAGTAGTTTTCGAAAAACTCAAAGATTTCTTTCATTCTTGGTTTCAAAGAGAATAAAAACTTTTCATGGTTTATTAGCTTGGGAATGAATTCAGCAGTCCTCTGCTCGGTTTCACGAAAACTGTGAAGAGAAGTACTGTTTTTTAGGAAACATAATAATGTTTCCCATTGATAATGACTTGCTCTCTCCATTTCTTTCTCTTCCCCAGACTGACAGAATAATTTAACATATTTTTTGAAGTATTCTGAAACTTTTCTCTTGTTTCTGTCCTCAGCCGTTTCTCTTTCAATCGACCTAGGTTTTAGGTAGGTGAAGTAGGTTTCGAAAAACTCAAAGATTTCTTTCATTCTTGGTTTCAAAGAGAATAAAAACTTTTCATGGTTTATTAGCTTGGGAATGAATTCAGCAGTCCTCTGATCGGTTTCACGAAAACTGTGAAGAGAAGTACTGTTTTTTTAGGAAACATAATAATGTTTCCCATTGATAGCCATCATGTGTTCTGAAGATTTTCTCTAGAAAATCAAAGATGATCATTGCAACATCAATCTCGCCAACATAACCTGATGTATTGTAAGTCTTTTGCCTTTTCCTGATTGGTTGATCAAGGAAATCCTGGTCATCCTTCTTTGCAAGATCCTGTGAATCTTTGAATGCCATAGTGGCATTGACAGCCAACTGCAAACACTCATCTAACTCTTCTGGAGTGAGTTCATTTTTCTGCTCTGTTTCATACATAAATTTCAAATTACTTTTGTAAACCTGCCCCAAAGTGTCAGCGATATAAGAGTTGTATTCCTTTTGTCTCGCATCCTGTGCCCATTGCAATGCAGACGTGAAATCTTTCTCTTTCAGGTAGAAGTGTCTCGCTAGAGCCTGAGGCACTGTTGCATTTTTGTCAAATCTTTTTGTGGCAAGTGTTAAAACTTCTTTGCTCTCTGCCAAAGGCATTTCTTCAATCAAAGGAGAAAAGAGGGTGTCTTTGTCATCACCATGTTCCTTTCTTTGACGGGTGATCAGCATACTCAAAATACTTTGAATGAGTATATCTTTGCCCATACCAGATTTGTACAGTTGGTTGCAATGCAGTAAGTTGGTCGTTATTTCACTCAGTTTAAGATTGTGCTTACTTATTAGGACTTTAAGGCAGTTTTCCGCAATCATTTGGTGCAGGAAGCGAACTGCTTGATAAGTGCCACATTCCTCAACATTGAAAGAGATAAGCAGGGTTGAGTAAGGATTCATTTTTTCTTCCAGTGTTTCCTGCTTCCAAAGATTCTTGATTCCAACAAGTTCCTCACATAGTGACAATGACATACATGAGCCATGTACATATGTATTTAACAGTGCCAAGAATGAGAGTAACTGTCCTTCCCTTTTTGAGACATCAAGGTCTTTGAGAATGTTGCATACAAGGTTTTCTATGTATTTTTCACTGAAGTCCTTAGTCATGATCATAAAGGCATAGAATGTTTCAGGTTTTTCATGATGGCCTTTGAGATCTTTCAGCTTCATCTGGAAAAAGGCCTGCTCCTTTGTGGAAAGCTTGTTGGTAATGAAAACACTGTCAATTCTGCTCTTTCTGGAGCTCTCACTCGGGAACTGTGATCTCTCGCAGTTAAGGATGATCACAATCAAACTCTCCTGTTTTTTTTTCCATGTGCTGCACAGAGTATGCACCGCTGTAGGTCCTCGACATCTTCCCAGTTGTCCACTAAAAGGAGAACAGGAGTGTAAGTTGATGGTTCTTCTTTTCCATAGGTCAGCAATTGTGTGACTTGGACTGCTATTTCACTACTTTGTGCAGAATTATTTTTCAAGACAGCGCACCTGAATTTTCGTCTCAAGTTCCACAACACATGCATGGCCAGTGTAGTTCCACCACAGCCAGGGTGATGGAACAGGTTAATTATTATACATGGGGATGAGTAACCCTCTGTTGGTGTTATGAGGTTGTGTAGTTCCTCATACTTATCACGTTTTATGAATGGAATGGACCCTGGTCTTTCTGACAGGTAGAAGTTCCACCATTTCACTTGGCCACCTCTGTAAAAGTCTTCCTCAGTTTTATTCTTGAATTGCATGAAAGAATCCATTGTTTCAATCTCTGTATTTTCACATTCGTTCTCGGCAAGTATTTCAAGGACTGTCATCTGAGCCTGATCCTTTTTTGTAAGAAGGACTGAGCTAGAGCCAAAGGAGGGCAGGTATCTGTTCACTGAACTTGTCTGAGGCTCTCTTGTTTTCTGAATGGTGCAATTGATCTCATTCAGACTTAACTCGTAAATACATTTACTTGTGATATCAACTTTACACCGAGTTTGTACTACGTGTTTCCATTGTTCAAATACTGTTAAATCTTTACAAATACAAAGCATGTTGTCATCCCCTTCAAGTTTTTGGTAAATTGCGCAGAATGTCTCAGTGATTGGGCTAGAAATGTCATTCACAGCTGAGTGGAGTAAAAACATAACCACTAATTTCTCCTTTGATATAATGTCAGGCTTGCAAATTAAAGAAATCATTTCACTGACTTCTGTGGCACGTTTTTTCAGCCATTCCCCATCGCTGAAAGGCATATCTGGTTCAGTTTCATTGACTTGACCATTACAAAAAACCCAGCTGGTCTGTTTAAACAAGTTCAGTTTGCTAATAATTGAAGAGATATTGTCTGCAGTGTTGTACAACCGTGGGTAGTGTATATTAGCCATACGATCTTTGCGATAGTAACTACAGGTTCCATTCTTTTGGGACTCTGGATCAAAATCAAGGATCACAAACAATTTAAGCTCTTTCAAAAAACTCAAATGCTCTAGCTGACTGACATGACACTTGTTTGTGATGACAATAAACTGTAAAGAGTTTTCCAGGATGTCCCTCCCATGAGTGATGAGTTGTTTAAGTCTCTGACCTTGAGAGCTTTGTCCTATAGACTCGCTGTCCCTCTCCTCTGCTGACTTTCTAGATAAAGCCCAAGACTTCACATCATCTGTTACTTTCTTCATTTTCTCCTGAACAGACCTAGGATTTTTATCAGCAAGAACATTGATGGTTCTTGCCCCAGAGCGAATAAAAAGGCATTCTGTTTTGCACTTTTTCTTCCCCTCCTCCTTTACTGTGACAGTATAAAAAAGTTTTTCCAAAGTTTCAGAATAATTTGGGACAACGTCTACTTCAATAACCCACTTGTCCACATTGATGTTGTCCGGGCATTTTACCTGAATGAATTTGGGAGGCCTAATGCATGTCTTGGCAACATTGGTGTTTTCTTCAAAGTACTCCTCGAGACGCTTATCAAATTCATCAATGTATTTATCAGGAGATCTCAACTCTAATCCAATAATTTGTCCATGTTCATACTGTGGCTTGTCTCCGACTCCAAAATGGATAGTTCCATTGGTTCGAGAATTCATGCATGCTGCAGCAAACCGAAATACTTCTTCTGTGAATTTTTTAAGGATATCCTTCTCTGAAGCATTCTCTGTGTTTGCCATGAGCTTGTACTCATGCACAGGGTCAATAAGATTGCTTGGACCCGTTTCAGGAGGAAGTAGTTCATTTTGTATATATACAAATGTTGTGCTGATTTCATCAAAAGGACGGGGGTTGCACGCACGTTTTACAATGTTCTTTGACATGTCCAATAAGTTCTCTGAACAGTTACTCTGACTCAGGTGCTCTTTGGTCTCCATCCTGACGTTCTTTGCATTTGTTGCTTTTGTTGAGTCTGGCAACAAAGTTTTTGATTGTGCACTTCTTGCCCTATCTCCTTTTTTGTACTTCAAGTCGTGTACTGTATCATGCAATAACTCCCCTCCACTGCTTTTTGGTTTGTCCTCTGAGGCACATGACAATGTGTGTTCAACTGCTTTAACATCACAGTTTTCCTGATTGCTTAGGTGTGAGTGTATCTCAAGTTTAGCAGATGTGCTGGTAGGTTTTTCAACTGCTGCTTTGTCTTGCTGATAATGTTCTGTTGAAGAGGTCCCTCCTAATGCATCTGCATCGTCAGGTATGACCCTGCTCCTGAACATTT